GCCCGTGCCGCGGCCCGGCCGCTGGGACGCCTGGGTTCGCACACGGCCCCGTCCATATTTCTTGTTCTAATGAGTCCCCTCCCAGTTCTACTTAATTAAAACCCGGAGAGGGGGGCTGGGGAGGTAATTAGGGCGGTCTCCAGCCGCTGCTTAATGAGCCCGTAATTAACCAGCCGGGGAGGGGAGCTGGCCTTTGGCCAGGCTGGGCAGAGCGCGCCCCGGCCTCACCTTCCGCCCCCCACACTACCAGGCCTCAGTCCAGAGGGAATCGCGTTTATTGGTGCAGCCAGTCGGGCGCAGGGGCCTGGGACCGACTCCCCGCGGCCCCCGCCGTCTTCGGCCGGGGTGGAGGGGTGGGGGGCGCAGTCGTTAGTGGGGTCTAGGGCGCCCGGTGACACCCTGGCTCCGAGCCTGACAGCTCCGGCGCCCTGGCGGAGGGCGTCCAGGCCTGCGTACCTGCCCGTGCCAGGGCGGGCGCGCTTCCTCGCACCCCTGCCGTGCCCGGGCAAGGTGCGGAGTGCGGGCCGCGAGGGTGCGGTTTCTCCCGCGTCTTCAGTCTCTGGGGCCCCTGCCAAGCCTAGCCAGGCGTGCAGTGGGCTCCCAGTTTGCGCCCCAGGAGGGAGGAGGGCCGGCGGGGCGCTCGGGTCTCAGCAGGTGTGTGTGGGAGGCCGGGATCTCTGCTCCTCCATGCGCCCCCCACCCTGAACTCTCAGCAGCAACTCCAGGAGCTCCTGCCCCCCTGGGGGCAGGGGCGGCTCTGACCGCTGGGCCTCCATCCGCTGGCACTGAAAGAGTGGAGGGAGACTGGTGAGGTCTTCGGGGAGATGCCCCGGGGGGAGCAGCGGGGGCAGTGGGGGGCAGAAGGAGCGCTCGGGAGGGGTGCGCAGGCCTGCGAGGGTTTGACCCCCGGTGCCTCACCTGGTGGGTGAGGATAGTGCTGTAGAGCCGCTCCCTCTCCTCCATGGGCCGGGCTGGGGCTGGAGTTAGGCTGGGGGCGTTCTGGGGAGCCTGGAAAGTGGCCCTCTGCTCCTCGAGGCGACGGGACTGGGCCTCAGCCACCAGGTCCAGGAGGAGTTCAGTCTGCAGGGATAGCAGGGAGGCCGAGCGTGGCCCCAGGTCTGGAGAGGGGAGTGCGGAGGCTTAGACTATAGGAGTTGGCAGGGAGAAGGGCAGTGGTGTGGGGGTTTGAGGGGTCAGGGTGTTTTGGTCGCAGCTGGGGTATGTGACAGTCTGGGGCAGGTGGGAAGAGGGGCCGCAAAAGGAGCAGACCTTGATGGGGGAGGATGGGACACCTACGTCAGGAGTCCCTGAGTGGGCACAGGTACCTGTGTGGCGGGTCCCTGGCCGAGGGGGGGACGGAGGAGCCGATCGCCAAGGCCGAGTGGTAGAGTTCAGAGGGGACCAGCCCTGCTCACGATGAGGGTGTCCCTGACACCAAGAGAAGTCTGTTCTAGCATTCAGGGGTGGGGTGGGCAGAGCGCTGGGCCGCGCCCCAGTGTGCTCAGGCTTGCCCAAGTCCCCTGCCCCTACTACGGTTAGGTCAGCACCCTTGCAACCCCCAGTCCCTTCTCTACCCCTCACCTCCCCACCCCGTGCCTTGCTCACCTGCTCACCATCCTCTTCCTGGGGTCTTTCAGTCTCCATCCCCGGGAGGGGAGAAGCCCAAGGGGGAGGGGTGGCCCGGATTCAGGAGGAGGGCTGGTTTCCTGAGGGGAGTGGGGGGCTGGCAGGGGTGGGGGTGAGCTGGGGGCTGAATGTCTGGGTACTGAGCAGGAAGCTGGGTTCCTGGTCAGCCCCCCCAAGAGCCCCGCCCATCTATGTCAACTTCCTCCATTCTCTTTTCCCACCCAAACAGCTTGTTTGACCTTTCTCCCCCAGGAGAGCACAGAGACTTGGAGGAACTCCAGCTGCAGGAGTGGAGGGGGCTCCTGGTGGAAAAGAACTGTCTCAGCTACTGACGCTCAGGCCCCCCTCCCCGGCCTCACTCCCTCCACCTCCAATCCCCTTCAGCCCTGCTGTCAACACAGGAACTAGCTTTGCACAGGAAGTGGTTTCACCCTTTAGGATCCCCTTCCCCCAAACCAGGTCCTTTCCTTCCCTCAGACAGACCCTGGAGGAGCATTTGGCTTTCCTCTGCCCTATTGGGGCTGGGAGGGGCGTGGTTCCAGTGGGCACATAGGAGGTCGTCCTTTCAAATACACACAGCCCTGGCACTGGATCCAGCACACGGCAAGGTTTCACAGGCTGTGCATTGAATATCCCTGGCCTTTGGGTATTTATGACATAGAGGGAATAATCAAACAGCTTGCGAGATGTCAGATATGCCCAGCTTGTTTTCTCTGAAGTGGAAGAATGAATTCTAAGGAACGATGGGGTAAGAGTAGGAAAATGTATTGAGACAGATGCTGAGAGCTAGATGACCCAAAAGCAGGTTGCCAATGAGCCTACTTCTCAAAGTTTCACAGAGAAAAATCATGGGGTGGGTACAATATTGATCAACACTATGACCGACAATCAGATTCCAAGTATGGCTGATTAGGTAATATTGATCCATGGGGAAGCGGGTCTCACAGCAATAGAACAAAGACTCTTTTAGGAAGAGATAAGTCAGGAGGTCTTGCTCACCCAGCAGGGTGACTGACGTCTATGTAGACTTTATTGGACTAGGTGATACCAATTATAGTATAATTTTAATTTATGGCTTATCCCTCAGAGAGACATGGAGGCCTGGTCCTTCCCTCTTTATCTTGAGGCCTGGTGTTTGACAGATGGGCCTTCAGCCACAGTTGTGCTGTGCTCTCTTTTGTATTGACTCTTGGGGGTCCAGCCCTGTGTGACTGTGTATAGTATTTTTACCTAACTTAGCTGTCTATATTTACAGTCTATTCAGAGAGATGTACCCTAGATGTGAAAGAGTGGGACTGGGGCAGGCTGTATCCTCTCAACTTACAGTTCAGTGCAGACAAGGGCCATGAGGGAAGGATATAGAAAAGGCAGAGGGCTGTCTCTATGGCATGGTCTTTCATTGATGCTATCAGGCTGGCTGGCACTGAGGGAACAGCATAGGCTTTTGGGATCTCTAAATGGGCACTTGTCACATTACGGAGTTGACAGTTGAATGGCTTGGAGCATGAGATGTGATGGAGATCTGCTTCTGCCACTTACTGCCCTGCAATCTTGCCTCTTAATGAAATCTTGGGGCCTCGGGTTTTGGGGTTAATAGCACCTACCTCATGGAGCAGATGTGAGGGTTAACTATAATAAAGCACTTGGCTCTAGTGGATGCTCAATAATGATAGTTACTGGCTTTTAAAATGCCTCGTGCCTGCTTGTACCAACAAAATTTACCAGTGTTCCTGGAAGTTGTGTAGATTATTCCCCCCCCCCCTTCGGAACCAGGGATTGAACTCAGGCCCTTGTGCTTTCCAGGAAGTGCTTATTCTACTGAGCTATCTCTCCGGCCCATGTGTAGATGTTCATCTCTCTTGAGAACTCTGGAATCTCCTAAGATATTCCTCAAATGGGGGACACAGCATGTGCATGGTGTAGCATGTGTGTTGCTTTTCCGGTCACTGGAGATTCTTTTTCACCTGCTACCCCAAGTGAACATGGGACCACCAAATCCACTTATTCCAGCTCCTTTAGCTGCCAGCTGTGAGCCCAACTGCTGAGCTTAGAGCACTAGCTCATTCTCAAGCCTGCGCAGCCCCATCACATGCAGTGTTTGCCCTTTCCGAAGTCCAGCCCCTCCAAACAAAAGTAACACTTCAATTTTATTAGAAGTGACAGATGTGGGGTCTTACAGCGGTGGCTAGAACAGTGGCGATCCCCCCACGCCCATGGCTTCTTTCTGGGGGGAAAAGAGCAAGGCGTCATCAGCTGGAGGGGCCTCAAGAACCGTAGGTACTCAGTATGTGACAGCTGTCTGTAGGCCGCAGTGGGTGACAGGCTCCCTCTGGGAAGCACATGTGGAAGAGCGCACCTTGGACCCTATCTGGGCAGTTCTTGGTCCCAGCGCAGGGCTGCTCCTCACTCCCATTTGTCTTGTAGCTCTAGGACCTTCCAGATTTGTCATTTAATCATCGGCAGTCTTTTCTTTTTCTTTGGTGCTAGAAACTGAACTCAGGACCTTGCACTTGCCACGGAGGTGCTGTGCAGCTGAGCTATATTCCCGGCCCTCGACGATCATTTTTAGAATTCTTTCCTTTCACGCTATTTTTTACCCTCCATTCCCGGGCTTAGGGGCATTACTTGGTGGGCAGGGAGACTCCACGCAACTTGCGGGGATACCCGCTCCGGGGAAGGAGTGAGACAGGGGGGCGGGACTGGAGTGGGGGCGGCGGGGCAGCAGGCTCCCAGGGTCACCCAGTCGCAGGGCCAGTCGTCTGGCGACACCGAGTCCCCTCGCCCGGCTTGGACGCTCGATCTGTCCCGCGCCCGGGCGGGGTTAGGCCGAGGCCCGCCCGTGCCGTAAGACGGCCTCCAGCCGCGGGGAGCTGCGGCCCCACGCGCTCCAACGCCGGACGGGTTCGGGCAGCGCGAGTAGACCCCGTCCCGGCGCGCGGCCAAGCCCGCCGACGAGGTCCGAGCGTGCGGACAGGCCCCGCCCCCGCGCGGGCGGGCTCCGGCTGACAGCGTCCGGCTGCGCGGCAGGGCCGCGGCCCCGCGCGGAGGCGCGCCTGCTGACGCGGTGCGCGCGCGCGGGCAGACCCGGGGCTCGGGGCCCGGCGCCGCTTTGTGACGCGCCTCCGCCGGCTCCGCCCCTTCCAGCAGGCTCAGCAGATCCCAGTGGTTTCGCTGGCGGGCGATGTCCCCCGGCGTCAGTCCAGCGTGGTCCCGCAGCCCGCGGGCCGCCCCCAGCCCAAGCATCAGCTGGGCCACCTCCACCGCGCCTTCCCGGGCCGCCAGGAACAGCGGCGTCTGCTCCTGAGGGCAGGGAACGCGCAGGAGCGGGGTGAGGGCGGCCCCGCCCCCAGAGCGCCGCCCGCCGCCCGCCGGCCCCGCCCCGAGGCCTCGCGGGCTTCCCGCGCTTCCCGCGCTTCCCGCTCCCTCGCCCATTTTCCTGCGGGCGGGCTGCTTCCCGGTCTAACCCGGCTGTCTTGGGCGTCCTTATCGGCTCCGGCTTGTAGAAGGGAACGGGCGGCCCGGGTGTTGTTGACGGCCGCGGCCCAGTGTAGTGCGGTTTTCCCTAGGGGAGGGTGTGGCAGCGGGTTAGGCCGCGCGGCCGGGACCGGCAGCTGGGTTCCGGGTTCTCACGGATTGCGGCCCCGAGAGGAGGGCTCCTCGGATCCCTCGGAGGGGGAAGCGTTGCCCTGGTGACCGCCGGCCGGCCGGAAGCGGTGCCCTGGTGACGTCATTGGCGCGCGGAGGGACAATGGGCATTGTTCTGGGGCGGTGGGACCGGGAGACCCTCACTCGCCTCCCAGAGACACCCCTCTACCCGTTCCCGCGGGCCGAGCGGTGTATGTGTTGAGGATGATGTGGGACCCGCAGCGCCGTGACAGCAGGGTGGGAGGCTGCTCCAGCCCTGCTTTGCGTCTGCCTCCCGCACCCAACAGGCTCAACCTCTCTGCCCCAACCCCCCATACCCCATTTATCTCTGGCTCCCACGTCTGCTCCGGCTGCAATCAGTTCTTCGACCAGGTCTTCTACCGCCAGCCTGGCAGCCAGGATTAACGGTGTGGTCCCGTCCTCAGTGCGAGCATCCACCGCAGTCTGTCGGCTGCTGAGCAGGAGCTGGGAGACAGACAGGGCCTGTGGCTCTTGGGGTACCCTGGACGCAGGTCTCTCAGATTTTTAACCCCCTCCCTGCCCATATTCACTCATCTCATTGAGGTCCTCAGTCTCATCAATTTCCTCCTTGTCAGATGCCGAGGATGCTTCTGCCCAGTTTTTTTTGTGAGCTCCCTGGTTCCCTTTAGGAACCCCCGTGCGTGCTGACCTGGCAGACCTCCCGGGCGTCGGCTGCCACAGCAGTGTGCAGCGGGGTGCGCCCTGCCCGGTCTGGCTCGTTGGGGTTGGCCCCGGCCTCCAGGAGGCGGCGGGCAGCAGTTGGCCTGGAGAATCGGGCAGCCAGGTGCAGGGGCGTCTCCCCGGAGCCTACGGTGTGAGCCTGGGGACAGGCCCCTCTATCCAGCAGGGGTTCCCAGGGCTCAGGGCTTCCCAGCCACGCCCCCTGGAAGGTCCTAGACTCCCCTCCTCCGCAGCAGACTGCTGACATCAGGGGCGTCACCCCATCTGTGGGTCAGAACAAGCAGTGGGTCACTCGGGAGGGGAGAACACGGGGACTCCAGGGGAATGAGCTGGAGGTGTCAGGGAGCTGACTGGTGGTGGTCTCAGTGACACTGCTCTGAGCTTTGGTTTCTTCATCTGCGAAAGGAATAAGGCCTTAGTTCTTTTATTCTAGAAGAGTGGTCCCCAAATTTGAGCTTGGTTCTCATTTGGAGGGCTAAACCAGGCTGCCTCTGGGTATAGGGGTTTGCACTTGTCATAGCACTGTAAGAAGCAAAGGCAGGAGGATCCTGGTTGGAGCCAGGCCTGAGCAGTCTAGTTGATGTAGTCTCAAAATACTGTACACACAATGGCAGGGGAGATGGCTCAGTAGGCAAGCGCCTACTGGCAAGTGCAAGGGCCTGAGTTCAATTCTCGGTTCCGCAAAAACAAAAAACAAAAAATTGTACATACAAGAAGGGCTGGGGATGTAGCTCAAATGCAGCCCCTTTCAGTTGCATGTTTAGTGCTGTAAACAGAAACTACCACCATCAACACATGCTGCACATCTCAAATTTCTGAATGACTGCTCTACAGTGGGGCCTGGGAACGTGTATTTCTAACAACCCCTTCGCACTGCTATCTGAGCACCAGACTTTTGACAGCCACTGTTGAAGGCCTAACATTATGTCCCTGCTCAGACACTGAAGGGCTTACTGTTTCCCGGGTCACAGGGAGCGTCTGGCTCACATACCAGGTCCGAAGGTGTCCACATCGGAGGCCTCCTGCTCAGATTCCTGAGGCGGGGTCAGCATGGCTAGCTGGGGGAGCTCCCCACACCCGCTGCCCAGTGGCCAGGGCTGGCACTTGCGAGGTGGAGCCATTTCTTCAGCCTTGGGGCAAGAGCAAGGATCAGCCAAGGCCACTGGCTCCTCTCTTTTTTCCACCAATTTCCTGGGGCTCCTGCCCGGCCCTCCCTGGCTACCTCCTCTCCCTCCTCTGGGCCTGTGCACATAACCACTCCATCCTCTTCCATGTCGGCCTCTGGCTTCAGTGCCCTGGAAGGTGGGTGCAGAGGTTTCCCAGGTGAGGGCCCGTTAGGATCTCCAGGGTTTCGGCACCCCCTGCCCCTTCTTGCCCTGTCTTCAGCTTCTGCAACAGCATTTCTGATCACTTCTGACCTTGACATCCCTGGGGAGACGCCCTCCCTGGCCCAGTCCTTGCTCTCACTTGAGGCCAATGCTGTCCTCGCCCAGGGGTGGCCGGCGGCGGCGATGGGGAGCCTGCTGCGTCCGAGGCTTTCGGGTGAAGCCAGGAGGCAGCCAGAGGGCCCCATGCTCTCGGCGTCGGTGGCGGAGGAGCTGCAGCACCAAGAGAGCCCCGAGGGCCAGGAGCAGCACCCCGGCCACCGGCGAGCACAGCACGAGCCAGGGGAGCGGGCGGGCGGGGGGCGCTGGTTGGAGAGAGGGACAGAGACTTCCTGGTGAGACTAGTGATTCTTCTAAGTACTGGAACTGCTCCCTGCCTCTGTTTCCCCACCTGGGAAATGAGGATGATAATCATCCTGCAGGTTGGGAATACCCGAGTGAGATGTTTAGAGCAAGGCGTCCAGTGAGCACAGCATAGTTACTCTTTTCCTGTAGGATCTGTGTGACAGAGCTAAGCAGATGCGGTTGTCCAGTTAAGAAGGTAAACTAGCACCCGGGGTTCCGTGGAGCGCTGCAGCAGAGGTTAGGATACCATGCTCAGCGAAATAAGGAAGGAGATCTGAGAGCCAGGCGTTGTCGCTGGGGGATGTGGTGCGAGAGGTATGAGGGCAGAGGAGGGAGTGTCCCCACAGCAGCATCCTGCTGGGTCACGGGCAGGTCAAGGGAGAGGGCCAGAGGCAGGGCACCTACCGGTGCCTGTGCTGGGGTGTGCGGCCAGCAGAGCGCCAGGTAGCAGGGGCTCCAGGACCCCCACGGCAGCCATCGCAGCAAGGAAGCGGAGCAGGAGCCCGGGGTCCCAGGGACAGCGGGACGCAGGGCGGTCAGGGCCACAGCGGGACAGGTCCACACCCATCACCACAACGAACCTGCAGGGAGACCCTCTGAGGCCTCTGCGTGCAGGCCTGGCTCCCTTCTCTCTGCCCCCTTAAGGGAGCCAGTGTCTGGGCTCCCACCTTCCGGTCTTACCCACTGCTGAGGGAGTCTGCGTCCTTGTCCAGGGGCTGGGGGTGAGGGGTTGCTGTCTCCTGACGAGAGGGCTCCCGAGTTCCCATCAGCTCCTCTTCAGCCCGGGCCCCCGGGTAGGGGAACACCATGTCCCTACCGTTGGGATCCTTCTTCACCCACAAACCCACCCTCAGAGCCAGGGACAGCGCCCGGGCCAGGTGGGGCAGCTGCTGGTCCAGGGCTGGGGGGCTCAGCACCACCAGCAGGGCCAGGGAGGGCCCCCACTCCACACTCCCCTCTTCAGGCCTGCAGTCGCCGCCGTCCCAGCCACATTCTGCTGTGTCGCAGCCTTGTTCGCAGTGCCCGTTGTGGAAGTGGTCTCGGCAGTACTGATCATAGGCTGGACTGTGGGGTGCGGAGAGGGGGACTCAGGATCCCCTAACCCTGACTCTTCACCCAGAGACAGAATTCCTGATGGCCTGTGGCCTGTCAGGCTTGAGTGCTAAGTGGGCACAGCTGTGCAGCCCTGGCTGGTACCCAGGGACCAGCACCTTCTGAGACCTCTTCTCCATCGCTTCCCCAACGCCTGCCTCCCTGAGGAGTGCAAGGCCCTTCGCCCTCAGCAGCGCCTGTTGCCAGAGGAGATGTTCCAAGGCATCAGGGCCTTGGGAGGCGGGCTTCGTCTCGAGCCCCCAGAATTCTCATCGAGAAGCCAGGAGAGCGGTTGTGCCGACATCACATGTGTGTGCATGCCCGCTGTGGTGGTGCACACCCGTAATCCTGGCACTTGGGAGGCTGAGGCAGGAGGACAGTTGTGAGTTCGAGACCAGCCTCAGCTACAAATTGGGCTCAAGGCCAGCCTGAACTGCATAGGGAGACCCAGTCTCAATATGGAATAAGGTTTTTTGTTTTTTTTTTTTCTCTGAATGCCCTCAGGGGTGGTTTGGCAGGCTGGAGTGTTGTGGGGATCGAACTACAGCATCCTGAGGCTGACAGCTTTGTGGAAGCAGCCACTTAAACAACTGAGCTAAAGCCAGGCCCCCCTAGAGACCCAGTCTCAAAATTGACAAAAAACCCAAACCAAACCAAAAAAATCCCAAAAAACTATATCATCTAATCTCTGTCTGTCTGTCTATCTATCTATCTATCTATCTATCTATCTATCTATCTATCTACGCCACCACTTCCTCTGAGTTGCCATCTAGAGTCTTCTCCTACTTCCTCCTGAGCAGTACTAATTAGGGTAGAAACTCCCTGGACTCTGCCTCCCCCACAATAAAGCATCTGTCACCTGCCCCTTCCCCACAGTCCCGGCCACAGTCCCGTGGGTTCCAGGCTCACGTGCAGGCTGGAGGGGGCTCACAGTCATATCCGTCAAACAGACATTCTTCAGAGTCACACTGTGGGTGGCACTGCCCATCTCGGAAGAGGAGCCAGCACTGGGAGTGGGAGGGGCAGCCCTTCCAGGGATCTGGGACTCCCAGGGAGCAGTCGCCTCCATCCCAGTCTGCTCCAGGGCCACTGCAGCCCGCATCACAGGCCCCATCTCCACTTCTGCCCTCGCAGCCCTGGGCTCCGGGTTTCTCGCACCGTGGCCCTGGAGAGTCAGGGGGGCAGGAGCACCGGAAGCCCAGGCCCCCCAACCCAGGGGTCTCTGAGCAGCTTCCATTGTGCAGGCAGGGGGATGGGGGGCCGCAGCCTTGAGAAACTGGTGGGGTCAGGCAGTCAGGATCCCCGAATCCGTCAAGGCAGGCACAGCGGGGTGGGGAGGTGGGCTTAGGGGAGGGCAGACAGAGGCCTCCATGGTGGCAGTGGTGGCGGCCGCAGGAAGGAGCTCTGTGGCTGCACGTGGGGCCTTCAAAACCCTGTGGTGGGGAGGAAAAGGCACTGGGGAAGGAGCCCCACCTGCCCTTCCTCAAACAGAGGGTCCTGGATTCTTCTGCCCGGAAGGGGGCTAATCATTTCATGGATCTTGAAACTATGTTTTGAGGTAACTTCATATATGAGGTTGTGTTGCAAATGGGTGAGCCCAGGTCTGGGCTGCACCAGGGCAAACGTGTCGTAATGCAGCAAATGCGCCCAACTGTTAGCAGAGTTGAGCTGTTGCATTATTAATCCTTGGCAACAGATCGGCTCGTACCTTTGTGTTCCTCTCTGCGAGAATGCACTAGAGGTGAAAAATGTAAGTTGGTGGAGCTCATTTGTAATTCTCAGGCTAGGGCCATGGTGTTCCACAATCAGAACAGTGGGGCAAGGCCAGGCACACACCAGTGGGGGTGGATCGTGGCCCAGGCTTGCGACTGACTCCATGCCCACGTGCCCGCACGTTCAGAGCTACAGTTTCTCCCAGGCCAGCCTGACCCCCAAGCTGCGGATCTTCTCACCCTGGCTGCTGAGAGTGAGAAGGTTCCCTTTATTCTACCCTGGGGCCTGCCTCTCCTCTGACTTGCAGGTGCATGCGCCCGGGGAAGCTGGGCTGCCCACTCCAGAGTGCCCCTTGCTCCCCCGCAGGTTTCCACCCCCCATTTCATCAGGGTGGGGGCACCAGACAAGGCAGCCTCCAGTCCCTTACCTTAGGGCAGCGGCAGGTGAACCCCGGGGGTGGTCCTGCTGTGGCCTCGCAGGAGCCTCCGTGGGAGCATGGCTGGCTCAGGCAGGGGTCCATTCGCACCTCACACCTCTGGCCTGTGGTGGGTGAGGTCAGACAGCACAGGCTCTGCCCACACCTCTTGACACAGGGGAAGGGTCCTGGGCAGCTGCTCTGGGTGCGGCCCGGAGGCTGAAGCTGTCTCGCAGGAGCCACTGTCAGTTGTGACCCTGAGATGCTGGGCCCCTGAGCCATGCCCCCGCCTCACCTGTGTGTCCAGGTAGACACTCGCAGTAGAAGGCGTTGGCCAGCGAGTGGCAGGCTGCAGTGCCCGCGGGGTGGCAGGGCCGGTCCAGACACTCGTCCACGTCTCCCTCGCAGCGCAGCCCCACAAACCCTGGAGGGCAGGTACAATGGAAGCCTCCAGGCTTGGGGATGCAGGTTCCGTGGTTGTGGCAGGGCTGGGACTGACAAGCGCTGAGCTCCTCTGAGCAGTTCTGTCCTCCGTAACCTGGGGCACACTGCAGACAGGGAGGGTGAGACGGACAAGCGATGAACCCTGCTCCAAGCAGTCTGCGCCCACCACCTTCCGGCTTGACACCACCCAAGTGGCTGCATGAGACTCTCACTCAGCGACACACAACCCTCCTCATCACAGGCAATCTGTGTGACACTTGCTACTAAAGACGTTCTGGTCTTGGTCAAACTTCTTTCCCTTACTGCACAGACTAAAGGCTCTGTCACAGTTTATTCACTAATTTATAAGCATCTACCACATGTCCATTTTGTGCCAGACAGTTTTAGGCAATATAAATACAAGAAAAATAAGAGCTCATTGCTGTTTCTGTGAAGTTCACAGTCGAGAGAGAGAGAGAGAGAGACAGAGAGAGAGAGAGACAGACAGACAGAGACAGAGACAGAGAGACAGACAGAGACAGAGAGAGACAGAGACAGAGAGAGAGAGAGAGAGAGAGAGAGAGAGAGAGAGAGAGAATCTATGTATGATCTAGGCCCCTAACCTTATGAAACCCTCCTAAGAACAATCTCCATGCATTGTCTTATTTGAGCCTCGTCGCGGATCAGAAGAGTCCCAGAAAGGTTCAGGGACCTGTGAGTCACACAGCTATGGTGACAGACTTGGGATTCAGGGCGAGCCTGTCCATGAACCAGGACTTGTGCATGCAAGGCGGGAGCTGAACCCCAAGCCACGTCCGCAGCCTCACGGCCACTTCCTGATGGTTCCACAGCTGCCTCGTAAGTGCAGGGTCACAAGGCCTGCAGCACGCAGGCTTGTAGGAGGAAGGGGTGCAGGGACGGGGCAAGCAGTGCTCCAGAGTCAGAGCCAAGGGAGATTGGCAGAGTGCGGGAGGAGCAACCGAGGGGCTGGCGGGAACCTGCACGAGGTGCTTTGAAAGTCCCCGGAGGGAGCTTCGTAAGGAGACTCCGAGCACAGAGACTTACGCCTGACCAGTACACTGAGGACAGAGGGTGTGGAATGTTCGCCATGAAAGTTAAAAATGGAACTACAGAGCCATGCAGAGGGCGGGTTGGGGTCTGCCCTGTGCCTTCTGCCTATGCTTGGCGCTGGGCGAAGCAATCCACTGCTTGGACTTGAGTCTCAGCCTTGGCCCTTGAGGCTCAGAGAAGCTGGGCGGTTTTCCTGAGGTAGCTGCCTTCCACTGGCTCTCGGCCAGGGGGGGGGGGGGGGGGGGGGGGGGGGGGGATGTGGGCGTGGGGAGGGGGGGAGGGGAGGGAGTGGGGGGTGGGGATAGGAGGTGGGAGGTGGGCCAAGCTGGGGGGAGGCCACAGCCGGGATGAAGGGCAGAGGCAAGAATCAGCGTGGATGCCAGGGACAGTTTGCCCCGAGGTTGGAGTGGGAGTAGGACAGTGGGGAGGAGGCAGGCAGGGCCTGCTCCTGCTGGGCTTCGCACTTTGCTGGGGAAGAAGTGGGCAGCCCGGAAGGGTGTCAGGTGGGAGGTGAGCCCTCAGCTGGCTGTTTCCAGCAGGGTCTGCCTGCCGGCAACAGGCAAAGACCAAACCGACATAAGGATGGGGTGAAGGTAGGGATGAGGGTGATGCTGGCATTCAGGGACGGGCCTGGCCTGAGGCAGGGGAACAAAGCATAACAGGAGAACATGGAGCTGGGAGATGTTGAGGAGGAGGTCGCGTGGCCTGGCAGAGGCTAGCTGGATGTGTGAGGTGAAGGAAAGCGAGGGCAGCTGGGCGTGTCAGGCTGTCCCTCAGTGTCACGCCTGCCTCCCATCTCTGGCCACCTCCTCTTCCCTGCCCCCCTGCCCCTCACCTGGCAGTGGTACCCATTGGGCCGGGCTGTGCAGGTGGCCCCATTCTGGCAAGGCCTGGGCTCACAGGGCTTCACACTGTCCTGGCATAAGCTGCCTTGAAACCCCGGTGGGCAGCGGCAGAAATGGGAGGAGGAGCCGCTGTCAATGCAGAGGCCCCCATTCTGGCACAGGGCGGAGACCTCTATGCCTGGGGAGAGAGACCGATGGGAAGAGGCTAAGAGTGGTACAGCGTCTTCAGAGGTCCAGACACCAAGCAGAGAGGCCCTGCGTGTGACTCCTGACTCTGAAGGCTGAACACGCACGTTCTTGCTCCCACCTTCTCTGCCATGGAATGGGACAGATACCTTTCCTCCAGCTTATCAATGTGTTAGAAGTGCTTTTCCTGGCTTCAAGTGGGCCTTAGGCGAGAAAGCACTCAAGGCAAACTTCAAGGGAGGCCACTGGCTTCAGCAGCCCATGAGGTCTGCACCCACGGGTGCGCCTTGCCACTCCCTGGGAGTCCCATCGAGGGCATCTTTGCGAGCGGGTTGGTGCAGCCTTCGTGGGTGAGTGGGGCAAAGCGGGTCGAGTGTAGCTGGGCTAAATGTGGTCCACACCAGCTGAGTCCCCACACGACAGGGTCGTGTCCTGGGGTAGCTGGGGTCTCATGGCTGTGCCAGTTGGTAGCTTCAGCTGTGTGTTAGGCTTTCCTGGGTAGCGAGTGGTGGGATCAGTAATTGTAGCTGGTCTGTTTGCATCTGTCTGAGACAAACAGACTGCGTGGTCTTTTCAGACTGTGCAGCTCAGGCTGGTCTTGAGCTCACTTTGCAGCTAGCCCAGGTGGCCTCAAACTCACAGTGATCCTCCTGTCTCAGCTTCCTGAATGCTGAGATTAAGGGTGTGGACCAACACGCCCCGTTTTGCCTGTATTTTAACTCTTGGGGGTTTGTTTAGGCCAGAGTGGTCCCTGCTGTGTGACTGTGTGGGGCAAGGGACAGGAAGACACTTTTCCTTTATCTGCTTCCCTCCTGGTCCTTGGGCTGCTACCTTGGCTCAGCGCGGCCTTCTGGCAGGACGACAGGGGGATACTACAGAGAGGCCCGGTCCAGCCCTGGAGGCACAGGCACTGGAAGGACATCCCGCTCTGGAGGCAGTGGGAGTTGCGTGGGCAGGGCTTCTGGGCACAGGGATCCAGCTGTATCTGAAGGTCAGGAGGGACAGGAAGCACCAGACTCTAGCCTTGATGGGCCTCTGCTGCCACAGCCCCCACCTCCCGGGCCTCCAGGACTCCTGAGTGTGGCTAGGTGACCCTGCCTCTTTTCTTTCCTCAGCCCCTGGCCTCAGGTATCCACTCAGTCCTTCTATAGGCCATGAAAACCTTGAGTGAGACCAGCCCCTGAACCTCTTTCCCTCCCTCCTCCCTGCTTCCACAGGGCTGTCCTGCCCAGGCTTCCCTGTGGGGCCCCCTTACTAGTGCTGTCCACCTCACACCACCCCCAGGCTGGTGCTCCTTACCTGGCAGCTGCCTCCTGTGTAGCCAGGAGGGCAGAGGCAGCGGGGACCTTGAGCACCATCTTGGCAGGTCGCCCTGTTCCTGCAGGGACTGGAGTAGAAGAGACACACAGTGGGAAGGTGGCTGGGGGCAGGGAGGGGGTCAGTCACACACTGGGGCCCTGTGTGACTTGGTGGGCAGGTGCAGGAGTAGCCCCCAGGGCTGGGCACTGGAGGGACCGCCTTCCCTTACCCTTCCCCACCTTTCCCTACCTCCCTTTCTCCTCCCTCCTCCCTTGGGGTTGTCACTGGATGCTTACCTGTCTGCACAGCTTGGGCCGACCTTCCCCTCACAGCTCGGGCCCTGGAAGCCAGTGGCACAGAGGCAGGAGAAGGCGCCGGGCCTGTTCACACAGGTGCCCCCATTGAGGCACGGGGCTGCAGAGAGGGGCGGTGAGGGGGTTGGGCTCCTTGCCCGCCCACATAACCCGGCCTGTGACTTTAGTCACACCACGCACAAGACACACACGTCCCATCAGAACAGTGGCTGGTCGCTGTTTGCTGCTGGTTTTAAGCCCCCTCCCCAGTTTCCCCCAGGCTGCGGTTGTCACTCACCAGGTGCACAGTGGTCAGCAGGTGTTTGGCACTGGGGCCCTGTGTGACTTGGTGGGCAGGTGCAGGAGTAGCCCCCAGGGCTGGGACTGCAGGAGCCACCATTGAGACAGGGTGCTGAGTGGCAGGCTGTCACCTCTTCATGACATGTGGGCCCTGGGGAAGGAGGTGGGCATGAGGAGAGGGTGTCCCTCTCCTCCCCTCCTTCCCTCACTGCTGCCCTAATATCCTCCCTACCCAGCCTTCCCTGACATCACTGTGTACTGGGAGCCTGCTCCGTTTTCTTTGGCAGTTACCGAGCTGCAGAGCCCTGGGCCTGCACCTCACCCTTGACTGGGGGGTGAGAAGCAGGGTGAGCAGCCAGGTGTGGATGGTTTGGGGCGGGCCTCACCTGTGTAGCCTGGCAGGCAGGTGCAGTTGTAGCCTGAGGGCTGGGGGTTGCAGGACCCCCCATGGGCGCATGGTGCGGAGATGCAGCCCCCTAGCTCCACCTTGCACTCTGGTCCCGTCCACCCCACGTCACACATGCACGAGGACCTGGTCAGATAGAGAGCAGGAGGTAACACCGTGGGCGCCCTCTGCCCTCCTCAGCCAGTGCAAGGGAAGGCAGGAGAGGGTGCAGATCTTCAGGAAACGGCAGGAGATGGCAAGCTCAGCCGAGGTATTCTTCCAGGAGGGGAGAGCTCAAGCAGGGTGGGCGAGCCCAGGAAAGAAGAGCCCAGCCCAGGGCCTCTGTGCCATTCACTGGGCAAATACCCCCCAGGCGTCACGGGCACTAAGCATCATGGGTACTGACTCAGGCACCAGGGAAACTGCACAGAGCGGAAGAGACAAAGTGGCTGCTGCCAGGGAGCAGCCATTCTAGGTGCAGGACGGGCAATGAGCAAGCAGTGTTACCTGAGGCAGTGTCCGTGGTGGCAGGTGCAGTTGTCCTCCGCAGGGGTGCAGCCAGGGCTTCCATCAGGGCAGAGGCAGCCAGCTTCACTATCTGCTTCTTGGCATTTCTGCTCGGACTGGCACAGGGCAGGGGCACACAGGGGCACCTGGCAGAGCTGGCCTGTGGTGAGGAGACAAGCCGGAGAACCCAGGCCTTTTCTGTCTTCGAGGGCTGGAGTCGGCCTCCTATGTGTGGCTGGCTGACGTGCTCCCCATGCCCTTGTCCTTCAGCGGGTCCCCATTGTCTTCTGGAAACCAACTTCCTGTCACTTGAGGTCCCGTGTGGCTCACCTTGACTGTAGCTGCTTGTCACACTGGAAGCTCCAGTCGCACGGGGTTCCTTAAACGAGGTGTGCGTCCCTTCCCTTTGCACATCCTTCACCCCCAGGTGAAACACTGTCTGGCTTTCATTGTGACAAACTCCTGCTCCCCTCTCACGCTCCATCCCTGCCACCACCTACCCTGGGCACGCTGTGGGCTCCAGACTCGCACCCACACCTGTCGCCTAGGCTGCATGCTTGTGTAGGTTTGCATTGAGATACTTTAGGCGTGCTCATCCCAGTTAGGAAACACTCCCAGTGACCCCTGTCCCACCCCAGCTAACTCGGATGCCTCCCTGTCCCCTGCTGACCTGTGAAGCCGGACGGGCAGAGGCAAGAGAAGGCTCCCGGGAGATCAAGGCAGCTGGCTCCAGTGGGACACGGGCTACTCTGACACTCATCCACTTCTGTCTCGCAGTGTGGTCCTTCAAAGCCTGTGGCACTGGGGAAGGTCAGGGGCCACACAGAGCTCTGCCCATTCCCCACTGCTGTCCAGGGTCTGAGCCCCAACATACCTGGGAGACACTCGCAGAGGAAGGCTCCAGGCTGGTCCCGGCACTGCCCGCCATTGGCACAGGGTGAGCTCCCACACTCATCCATGTCCTCTTCACACAAGGTGCCTGTGTATCCTGGGGGAAGCAAGAGGTGGGAGGGAGGCCGAGGTCACTGAGGAGGTGCAGCCCAGGGCTGCTGCTTCCCAGGAGAGGTGGGACTGTAGGGCTCCCAGGGAAGACCCCGGGGGAGCAGGGCTCCCAGGGAAGACCCGGGGGAGCAGGCCTAGAGTAGCAGGAGGGTGACACAGAGGGTGTGAAGCTCTGCCACCTGCCAGCTGTGGGGCTTTGGGCAGGCTTCCCTCCAGCCCTGGAGGTAGTGGTGCAGCCTGGGATGGGAACAGCTCAGCCACCCCTGTGTGAGCCCCCCGGCCCACACCAAGCCTTGGTTGGGGGGGTCTGTTTCCTGTCACCACTGAGAGGACTAAATGACATGAGACATAATTCCCAAAGAACAAAAACACCCTGAGAAAATCAAGTGCTTGTGTCAGAGTAAATCAATATTCAGTAAACGTGGTCCAGCAGGATCTCTGACTGAGATGGAATAAGAACTTGGGGCTGCTTTGCCTTTGTCCGAGGCTGGAGGCTGCAATGCCAGGGCCAGCCTGGGTTGGTTCCCGGGCAGGGAGGCAGCACAGAGGAGGCAAAGGGGCCGGGAAGGAGGGAGATGGGGGTGGGCAGGACAGTGATGAAGGCCTGGGTAAGTGAGGGGTGTCTTGGGATGTAACAGAGTCCTGGGCTGCAGAGAGCTCCCGCAGCCTCAGCCCTGCAGCTGGAGGCCAGGGCAGGGCTGCAGCCTGTACCCACCGGGCCGGCAGATGCACAGGAAGCCGTTGAGCAGGTCCTGGCAGTCAGCGTGGTTCAGGCAGGGAGCCGAGGCACACTCGTTGGTCTCCACCTCGCAGAGCTGCCCTTCTAAGCCTGAGGACAGGGGCAGGGTGAGCGGTGGGGTTTGGCTAGGGCCCTGGCTGGCTGACTCTTTCTGTCTGGGAGACGTGGGTTTCCCCGTCCCCCTCTGCCTCCCTTCCTGTGCTCATGGACTGAGATTTGCACGGCGGAGCTTTGAGCCCTCTGCTCTGGGGGTGGCTCTGCTGTCTGCAGGTCCGGAAGGAAGCCCAGGGAGCAGGGCTCCTGCCGGGCAGCGAGGGGGCAAGGGGCCACTGCCATGGGCTGCGTTCCTGGTGTGCCCAGGGTGGGTCTCGTGGGGCCCTCAGGGTACAAGTGAGTCAGGGGATCTGCCCACAGGCTGAGCTGCTCCCCTTGCTCCCCTCCATGCCAGGCAGAACAGGGGGTGATGTGGAGAGCATCCCGGAAAGCGGCGCTGCTCCCAGATTTTCCTCACTGCTCAGGGGTCGTCCTAAATTCCGTGGCTAACTCTGAACTCAGGCCAGATCGGCCTCCTGACCTCAGCTGCCTCCCGTTTCCTGCCTGCTCCTGCCTGCTGTGTTTCTCAGATTGCTGAACAGTTTGGTCTGCTTTCTCTGCTCTCCTCCGGATGGCCTCAGTCACCACCCTGGGGGCCACGGAGCTCAGAGAACAGATACCATGTGGCAGCTAAGAGTGTGAGAGCCCTGGGTTTGAATCCTGGTTCTGCCGCTTATTAGCTGTGAGACCTTGACAAGCCACGCGGACTCTGTGCCTTAGTTTCTTCTTTTATAAAATGGTCATAGTGACAACGCTGACCTCAGAGGGCTGCTGTAGCGGAGCTGAGCGGACGGCACCAGTACAATGTTGGCTAGTATTTTCCTAGTTTTCTGCAGCTCCCTGATAAGGGCTCTGTACTCTTTTCGCACCGGTGGCAGCCTCGAGGAGGGTGCAGACTCCAAGCAGGCCTTTCCTTATCTCTACAGGGGAAGTTTGTACCCTTAGGGGGCGCTGTCTGGCTGGGCTGTGTGCAGCGGGCCTAGCTGTGATGAGCGTGCAAGGAGTGGCGGCTCCGGGGCTGAGCAGGGAGCAGGAGGACGGAGAAGGAGGACTGACCAGCGGAACCCTCCCAATTTAGCCTGAGACCGTCCTTAGCTGGGTCCCTGGTGGCTCAAGGTCGGATCTCGGTCCCCCGCACCCAAGCCCCATCCAGCTGTACCTGGCGGGCAGAGGCACTGGAAGGTGGCAAGCAAGTCCAGGCAGGTGCTGCCCGGGTGGCAGGGCTGGGACAGGCACTCGTTGTGGTCCGTTTCGCAGCGTGAGCCCGTGTAGCCAGGTGGACAGAGGCAGCTGAAGGAGCCGGGGGTGTTGAGGCAGGATCCGCCGTGCTCACAGGGGCTGGGGCCTTGCTGGGCTGCAGGGAGAGCACAGCCTGGAGTCGGTGGGCGGGCCCGGGGGTCCGGAAGGCACTGGCCGCCCGCGCTGGATGAGACCAGGTTAGCGAAGGCGCTGCACGTGTACAGCGCAGGACGGAAGGCCCAACCCCTCGCCTGTCCACTGTGGAGCCCCGTCTGGGCACGGGCAGGTTCTGCTTCCGGGGAGCCTCACCCATTTGGCACTCGTCCAGGTCCTGGTGGCAGGTGAGCCCCGAGTAGCCGGGCTGGCACAAGCACAGCGTGGAGCCCGTCAGGGGGTTGGTGCTGCACTGGGCTTCCGCATGGCATGGCTTGCTGAGACACATGTCCTTCAGGTGGCACAGGAGGCCTGCGGAGGCCCGAGCTGGTGAGGCCGGAGCCCCCTGCTCTGCTCCCAGCGCTCCGCTCCCTGTCGGCGCCTCCCTCCTCCCTGCTCCTTGCTCCCACCTGTGTGCCCTGGGGGGCAGAGGCAGGAAAAGGAGCCCACACGGTCAATGCAGGTGGACCCTGGGGCACAGGTGGCATCAATGCAGTCGTCCAGGTTCTCTTCACAGCCTGCGCCTCCCCAGCCGCTTACACACACGCAGTGAAAGCCTCCAGCCGAGTTCTGGCAGGTGCCCCCATTCCTGCAGCGAGGGGGGCCTTGGGCCTCACATTCGTCCACGTCTTCAGAGCAGTCCCAGCCTAGAGAAGGTCAGGAAGGAGGCCAGGGCTGGAGCTGGCAGCCCAGGGAGGAGGAGGGGTTGGGCCCGACTGTCCAGGCCGTGCGCTGTGGATTTGGTCTCCACAGCTCACCTGTCCAGGCATCTGGGCAGAGGCAGGTGTAGGCGCCCAGCCCATCCTGGCACGTGCCCCCGTTCTGGCAGCGGTGCTCGACACAGTCATCTGGATTCTCCTCACAGTCCAGGCCAGTGAAACCTGACAGAGTTACAGGATCAGGATGGGGAGGACACCCAAAGGAGGGACCCTCCTGCCCCTGAGGACGCACCTGGGGGGCAAAGACACAGGTGAAGGCTGGCATCTCCCCCTGGCACTGGCTGGCAGGTGCCCCCGTTTGGACAGCCCCCAGCAGGGCAGGGGCCCTTCTGGAGCGCACAGCGTGAGCCCTCCTGGCCTGCAGGGCAGAGACACCGGAAGGAGCCCAGGATGTTATGACAGGAAGTGCCTTTGGGGCAGGGGCTAGGATCCAGGAAGCACTCGTTGACATCGTGTTCACAGGTGTGGCCCTCGAAGCCCAGTGGGCAGCGGCACTGGATCTGGGGGTAGGTGGCCAGACACTCGCCTCCGTTGGCACAAGGGTTGGCAGAGCAGAAGTCCCGGAGCTGGCACTGTTCGCCTGCGGCAGAGGGCACAGACGCCCAGGGGCCAATGGAGCACCACACCTGTTTTGGCCCATCTGAGATTGCTCGGCTGTCCCTCTAATTGGGTTTTCTAATTGGGACATCGCCTCTTTCCCCTGTATCCCCACTCCCCAGTCTTGCCACGCCTCATGAAGGCTGTATCTGGAGCAGCCACATTTTCCAAACCGTGAGCTGGGCGTGGTAGGCCATGCCTGTAACCCAGCATTCTGGAGGCTGAGGCAGGAGAATGATTGCGAGTTCAAGACCAGCCTGGGCTACGAAGTGAGCTCAAGGCAAGCCTGGACTGCATAGTGAGACCCTGAGTCAAAAAGACCAAAAAAAAAAAAAAAGATTTTCAAACCGAACACAAGACGTGTGCCTGGTGATGGAAGTGTCACAAGCCTCTCAGTGAGGATCTGAACTCCTAGTCTCCCTGTACATGATGACAAGGAGCCGCGTTCCCAGCCATATGCACCATTGTTGAGGATGGCAGTGGCAGCTGCCAATCACTGCATGTGGCTTGTGCTGGGTGCTGAGCTGAGCAAGCACTTCCTGAGCAGCCTTCCTTCTCGGCCTCTCAGCAGCCTTCTGCTTCATTCATTCATTCATTCATTCATTCATTCATTCATTCATTCATTCATTCATAGACTGGGTCTCACTGTGCAGTTCAGGCTGGCCTTGAGCTCACTTTGTAGCCCAGGCTGGTCTTGAACTCCCAACGATCCTCCTGCCTCAGCCTCCCAGTGCTGGGATTAAGGGTGTGCGCTGCCATGCCCAGCTTCAACAACCTTCTGCACCACTGCTGACTGCCAACAACAAGGGCCTGAGGGTCCAGGCTACTGAAGTGTCCCATGCAAGGTCATGTGGCTGCTGTAGTCAGTGGCACAGGGGCTGCCCAGAACCCTGCCCCTGTGGTGAGCTCGCCCTGGGCCAGGTCCCCTTCTTGGGATGCAGCCCCAGGTCTCTCTCCTGCCCAATCCCTCTAGGCCCTATGTCTCCCACCCCACAGTCTCTCCAGGGCCCTCAGGGGCACCCGCCACTCAGGGCAGCCTCAGAAGGTGGAGCCTGGAAGTCCAGGGTAAGAAAGGAGGCCCATAGCTGCTAAGTTCAGTTCAAGAATCCCAGAGACACCAGGTTGGTGCCCTGCAGGGCTCAAGGCGTCTCTAGCTTGGAAACATTTGAAGTAGTGTGGAGCTATTTTGCTGTCTTAGTGCGTGAGGAACGCTGGTGACGGTCAGTCCTGAATGCGAGCTTCAGGCCTCATGGCTGGCATCTTGGGCGCCCGTTCGCTCTTTCCCACCCACTGCCCAGCCCCTGCTCCTGCTGTGCCCTGCTTGCCACCCGCCGGCACTTACCTGTCCACCCAGGCATGCAGGAGCACTGAGGGTGGCCTGGGGCCTGCAGGTGGCAGCGGCCCTTCTTGGAGCAGAAGAAGGGAGGACAAGGGTCTTCGAGCTGGGCCTCGCACCTCTTGCCAGTGAAGCCAGAGGGGCAGGTGCAGAAGAAACTGGAGGCTGGTAGAGAGGGGGTGCTGGGGGCGCTGGGGGGTGTGGGAAGCAGGGTGTGGCAGCTTCCCCCATTCTGGCAGAGCTGGGCATCCCGACAGAGGTCAGGAAACTGGCACATCTCACCCAGGAAGCCAGGGGCGCACCTGGGCACAGGAGAGAGGCAAATCCCCGTGGCTCCGAGGCCTTCGGCTCTTTTCTTCCCTCCTCCCTTCCCACACCCACGCTTCTCCCCTCTTGTCACACTCACTGGCAGGTTGCAGGCTCTCCAGGTGGGCTCAGGCAGGTGCCTCCATTGGCACAGGGTTCTGGGGAGCCCTCACACAGTGGCCCTAGGGTGGTGAGGGAAGATGAACACCATGGGGCCCCTGCTTGGCCTGTCCTTCTCTGGTCCACACCCCCTCGTGTTCCAGGCCACCGGCTCCTTCACACCCCTGTCCCGTACCCAAAGGGTACCAGTGTCCTCGGACTCTTAGTCATGACTCCCCACCCCCTTTCCTGTTTATTCGCTGGCCTCTGAAGTCCAGCCCCCAGCTCCATCCCCCGGAAGCAAGACAACAGGGAGTCTGGAGGGGGGCCACGGGGCTCCCAGGAGGTGAATGGCTGAGACATTGAAGGGATTTCCTCCAGGAAGGGCTCAGTGCTGAGCCACTGGGGTGGGGACAGCTGGACTGGAAAGGGACTTGGTGGCCCTGGACCACCCCTGACCCATCTGCCGTTCTCCTCTCGCCTCTGTCCCTCACAGGTGGCCGGTCTGGTCTCTCTTCTCTTTTCCTTCTGGCTGCAAGAGCCCCCCACCTCTTAGCAAGGCCAGGAGGGTTCTCCTGTCAGTGGGCATCCTCTCACCCGCCCTCCTGCAGTCACCAACCCTGGCTCCCGGCCCTGGCATCGGTCTGAGCTGCTTCTATGGCCTTCGGTTCTCCCAATGGCCGTTCCTATCAGGGGAAGACCCTCTTCCACCCATCCAGCCCTCATAGCCTGGGGTTAGACCCTGTCCCCCACGCCCTGGGCTCTTCCTAGGGAAGACGGCCCTACCTCACCCACCTTGTGTCTCACCTCTGGCCATGGCAAGCGGGAAACCTGGTGGTGGTGACAACAGCAGCAGCAGCAGCAGCAGCAGGGAAGGGGGCTGCATTCCAGAGCCCCCGCCTGAGCCCAGGACCCCTCTCCCTCTTCAGGAAGGGACCCTCAGAGCTCCCTGAGGCAGGGCCACCTCCGCTCCCACTGCCCTGTCCTCCTCTTCCTCGGCCTGCTACAGCCTCACGTCTGAGCTGTTTCCTGAGTCACACAATGTCCTGGACACCCTAGTGATGGGGAGGAGGGAACAGAGGAACCTTGGGGGGATGAGGGAGGGGCCGCTGTCCCTGACAGCCCCTAGGGAAGTGGGAAAAGTAAGACTGTGGGGCAGGAGGGCAGGTAATGGAGGGGAGACCCCGCTTGGCTCTGGGCCCCTGGGACAGTCCCCGCCCTTGATGTGGACACGGTTTCTCCTGGTACAGGTGGGAACTGGAGGCAGCACCCTGGGTCGCAGGAGGGGCAGGGCCTAGACAGGAGTGGGGGGTGGTGAGGCTGTGCCCCTTCCTCCTCCCAGGAGAGGAAGTTTAATTCTCCAGCTCAGTACAGACGCTTCTTAGAGGACCTGCAACTTGCCACCATTTGAAACTACTCACCTAGACAGGGGAACTCAGGGGACTTTTGGGTCCCACTTGGGCCCTCGTTAGGATTTCCTTTCCTCCTTCTGGGAAATGAGTAAGATGCTGGGCTGGGCTTGGGAGAAATCTGTGCTTTCCAAGAAGAATGTATGACAGATTCTGTCAGCAGTGAAGGAACACAGGCCAAGCTGGGTGTGGTGGCGCACAGCCGTGAGCCCAGCAGGAGGCAGGAGCGAGAGGAGAGGAAATTCACGACCAGCCTGGGCTCCCTGGCGGGTTCCAGGGCAGTCTGCTCTGCGTGGTGAGACCCTGTGTGTTTTCTTTTAATAAGCAGAAGCAGCAGAAGCAAAAGAAAAAAAAAAAAAAAGAACACGGTTCATTGTAAATTGTGCTTTAAAATTCTAAATTTGTAGTCTGGATTATCTGCAGCAAATGCTAGACTCGAGTAGTTTTTGCCCCCTCCATCCCTGCCTCCATCTCCTGCGGAGGATCCTGAGATGTAGCGGGGAGGGAGGGAAGTGGAATATACAGTCGGAGGAGATAAATCACAGAAGGAAGTTTGTAGTCTTGGGAAGTTCCCCTACTCAAGTTGCCCAAGCTGGGCCCAAACCCGAGACCCCCCCACAGCCTCCAGAGATGCTGGGGCCACAGTGCGCACCGCCAGGCCCAGCCTCATCCCGCCGTCCGAGCACCCCCGGCCTGCGGTGGGTCAGCCACCCCGAGTGCTCTGGCAGTCCTGGGAGTGCACTGCTGTGGGGACGCCTGGCGGGGCGGCCTCGCGCTACAGCCTGGACACACTGTGCCTCTCCCCTGCCTAGAAACACAGAATTCACCAGCGAGTCCTCTTTCATCTTGGAAGCCTTTTATTTTGAAATAATTTAAAATTCACAGAAAAGGGGCAAGTATACTAAAAAACTCCAGGATAGCCCCAGATGTCAATTCTCAGTGGCTATCATTGGCCACACTGGTTTTATTTTTCCATAAATGCACATTAGTACTTTTTTCTGAACTCTTTGAGAGTAAGTGGCCCTTTACCCCATACTCATCAGTGTGAATTTCCTAAGAACAAGAACCTTTTACACAACACAGTACAAGCATCAAAATCAGGAAAACTGGCACAATACTGTGATCTAATCAGTCTATATTCAAAATTTGCCAATTGTCCCCTAACATCCTCCATAACAATTTTATTTCTTGGGCCAAGATCTAATCTAGGATTATGCAATGTATTGAATTTAGTTAAGTCTTTTTAGTTCCCTTTCAATATGGGTATAGTTCCTTAGACTTTGTCTTTCATTATACTGACATTTTAAACATTTTTTTTTACATTTATTTATTTATTGTGTGTGTGTGTGTGTGTGTGTGTGTGTGTGTGTCCAGCTCAGCCCACCAGGGGGCGGGCTGGCTGGCATGTGGTGCTGGGGATCGAACCGCGGTCCCTGTGCTTTGTCAAGCTTGTTTCAAGTAGGTGCTTTAGACCACTGAGCCATCTCTCCAGCCCCTATACTGACATTTTAAAGGAGTACAAATCAGTCATTCCTATAGACTTTCCCTAACTTTGGGTGTTCTGGGGGAGGGTACTGAATATTGAACTTAGGGTCTTACGTAGACTAAACATGTAAGCTGCCCCTGAGCTGTGTCTCCAGCCCACCAACATCATTCTTAACAGCTTCCTAGGATTTCACTGTTTGGTGAAGCCTAGTTTATTTAAAAGTCTCCTATGTGGTGGTGTGGATGTGGCGGTGTACTCCTCGGAGATGGAGACAGGAGGAGGCCAGCCACAAGTTCAAGGCCAGTGTGGGTTACATGGTGAGTTCAAGCCTGGTCTAACTACCTGGCAAGACCCTGTCTTGAAAAACAAACTAAACCAAACCAGGCCAAGCCAAACCAAACCAAACCAATCCAACCCAAACCAAAGTCTCCTGTTGTAGCATATTTAGGTGATATAGAGTCATGAGGAAGACCTGGGTGGAAAGAACTGAACTCACCAGTTCTGCTGTCCTCAACCATTTTGGAAAAGGATGCTGGAACTGTAGGCTGGAGGTTGAGTGGTGGAGGAAATGGTAACGGAGACGGAGAAGTGGTTAGTTGAAGGAGAACCAGAAGTGCGGTAGAGACTGAGTTTAATGACAGCATTAGGGAAGTATGCAGCCCACTTCCTGCCTCATCCTGCCTAAAACAAGGTTGCGCACTCCTGTGCAGGCCACAGCATTTTAGCTCCTGGGTCCCTGACAGCTTCCAGCCTCTGGAGCCTACAGCCCAGGAGAGTCCTGACTCCCTAAGAGCTTGCGCTCCTTCCTGATAGCTTTCTGGTGGCTGATGCTGTTGAAGATGGTGATCCCAGCACACCAGGGACAGAGCTGACAGTCTCAGTCCCTTCCTCATCGCTGGGACTCAACATCTGACACTAAGAAATGAAAGGGGGAGAGGTTCCTTGGCTTTCATTTTCAGTCCCTAGTCTACTGGCTCCAAGGCAGGACAGCATCCAGAGGAGAGTAACTGAGAAATGTAGCTGCATTTGACACAGAGCAAAGATGAGCCTGACAAAGAGATGAATACGTAGGAACAAGGAAGCTTTTATTGTGAGCCAGCCTGCCACCGATACCTAGACGCTCTCTGGTATTGGCTTGAACTTTGCTTTTAGGATATATACTTCTCAGGTATCCATAGCAACCACGTTTCCACATTCACAGGAATTTTTCAAAATTGTCACACAAGTGTTACAAAGTTTACATTCTCGAGACCACCTGTCAGTCACAGGACATCGGGGTTTACCCTATTTCCTAAGCTGTCTGTTTGTTCCATTTTTTAATGCCCTTGTTTTCCTCAGTAGGTTTATGGTTGACTACAAGGGAGGGAGTGAGGGAGTGAGTTCATCCACAGGTTGAGGGAACTTACCTGATTTTTGTTAAAACGGAGTTACAGAAAGACAATGGAGGGGCTGGGTAGATGGCGTAGTAGAATAAGCACTTGCCGGGCAAGCGCAAGGACCTGAGTTCAATCCCCAGTTCTGCAAATTAAAAAAAAAAAAAAGAAAGAAAGACAATGGACTCTCTCTTGCCCCATCAGAAAAACTGCTCATGTCATGGTAACCAGGAAGTGGAGGAAAGGTGAAGGAGAAGCTGGGAAAGGAGGTGTTCCCTTCCGGGTCAAGTCCCAGTGGTCCACCTCTTGGCCCTCCCCCACTATATTATTTCTGAATAAAATTCAGTTGCACCCCATTTCTCAGTTCAGGGGCTGGGAGCCCTTCAGTTCCCTCAGTCCTCTCTGCTACTCTCCTGGTCACGTCTCTCCCTGGTTCGCCCTGCGGGGTCCATAGTTCAAATCCAGGTTCTTTCCTTTTATCTGTTTCTAAGTGACTTCATTTTGGCTCATGACTTCCTACTTCCTTAAAATACCAATGTAGAAGACCATCTTTGTGTGACAACTCCTCAGTTTATATATCTAGATCAGGCATCATTCCTTGGAATTCCAGATCTCCGCTGCAAATGTCTGACAAGTACCTTAAATTCCACATGTCCAGAGTTGATCAGGTCTTCCCCTCTCAGCCTTCTTCCTCTTGATAGAATTGGGTTTGGCAATTCTATTTTTGCAGGTATTGAGGATCCCCGATCTCTGGAAACATTGGTGTCTCTCTTTCTTTCTTATTCCAGACCCAATCTAGCTTAAATCTTGTTTGCTTTACCTTGACAGTATATCCACATTCATCTCTTAGGTCTCCCAATTTGTTTCCTCACTGTCGTCCTTGTTCTCCACGGTCCCTTCTTTGCATAGCAGTCAGAATGAGTTCGTTAAAAAGTGAGTTGGATCAGGTAGCACCTACCCTTACAACTCCCACCAGTTCTCCCTCACTCAGAGCTGACTCCCCACAGAGCCCCGCAGGTCCTCCCCACCCCACCCTTGTCGCGTTTGCCTCTTCGAGCTATCTCCGTTTAGTCTGCTCCTTCATTCTTTGTGCCACACTGTCTTCCTCACGCTGTGTGTACGTGTGTGTGCGCGTGCGTGCGTGTGTGTACGCAGCTGAGGACTGAATGCGCCCTTGTGCGTGGATTATTTTCTAGAATGACGTGAATGTGAAGGTGAAGTGCGAAGATGCTTAGGAAATGTGTTTTAGCTGCTGATGCTGGTTTGCTTGGTATTTTTTTCTTAAGTAAAAAAAAGAAGACCAGAAATAAATATTTTTTGTAATAAATTTAATGAAAAAAAATAGCAAGACTTAATTACTCATAGCTATAAATCATTGCTGAAAGAAATTAAAAAAATAGGCATAACATTTCCTTCAGTCAGAAATATTGTCAAGATGCTGTGAAGACCGGTGGACTAAAGCACCTGCGCAGGCAGAGCGCAAAGCGGGCCTGCCGTGCTGGCCCCGGGTGCCGAGTCGGCGACTGACACCTGGGGTGGTGTCACGAGCCTGTCATCCCAGCGCTCGGGAGGCTGAAAACAGGAGAATCACTGCGAGTCCGATCTATATAGTGAGACCCTGTAGACCCTGCACTGAAATACACTAACAAAAGATACTGTCAAGATTTGTCAATTAATATTGTCAAGGTGGCACTACTTGACAAATTGATCTAGAGATTCAATGCGTTTCCTATCAATATCCCAGCTGTCTTAAGTTTTGTTCAGAATTGTAAAGTGATCCTAAAATTCGTATGTAAATGCTAAAGACCTAGAATAGCCCACATAGTCCTGAAAAAAACAAAAACAAAAAACAAAAAAAACAAAAACCAAAAAACACAATGTTGGACTCACGCTTCCAAATTTCAGGAGTTGCCCCAAATCTGTACTAATCAGACAGCATAGCACCAACATCACGTTAGGCAGCTAGGCCCACACAAAAGAATGGAATTACAGTCAATTAATATTCATGTCCAGGGCCGGGGAGATGGCTCAGTG